AGGGGATCTCCCCCCCTGGCCCCCACCCGCAACTTTTTTGCCCGGAGGATTTTCATCGCCGGAAACGGGCCACCGCATGTGCAGTTGAGAAAGAATAGGAAAACATGTTTTACAAATATCACACACCTCAGGTCCCGAATCCGACTTTTTCTGTTTGAAATCTAGCCCTTTGGGCCTCCCTCGGCTCCCTCCCTTTCTCCTCCCCTTCTACTCCCGTCTTGTTGCTGCCATTGCCACTGCTACTGCTACTACTACAACAACAACAACAACTACTACTACTACTACTACTACTACTACTAGTACTTCTTCTACTACTGCAACTACTACTGCTGCTACTACTAATACTACTACTACTACTACTACTACTACTACTACTACTACTACTACTACTACTACTACTACTACTACTACTACTACTACTACTACTACTACTACTACTACTACTACTACTACTACTACTACTACTACTACTACTACTACTACTACTACTACTACTACTACTACTACTACTACTACTACTACTACTACTACTACTACTACTACTACTACTACTACTACTACTACTACTACTACTACTACTACTACTACTACTACTACTACTACTACTACTACTACTACGACTACTACTACTACTAATAATACTACTACTACTACGACGACGACTACTACTACTACTACTATTAGTATTACCACTACTACTACTACTACTAGTACTACTACTAGTACTTCTGCCACTTCTTCTGCTACTACTGCTACTACTACTACTACGACTACTACTACGACTACTACTGCTATTACTACAACTACTACTGCTACTACGACTACTACTACTACTACTACTACTACTGCTACTACTACTACGATTGTTACTATGACTACTTATATTACGACTCGTACTACTACTACTACCATTACTTCGACTCCTACTACTACTACTACTACTACTACTACTACGACGACTACTACTACTACTACCACTATTACTACAGCTACTACTATTACTACTGTTGCTACTACTAATAATACTACTATTACTGTTACCACCACTATCATGTTTACTGCTACTGCTACCACGACTACTACGACGACTACTACTACTACTACTACTACTACCACTACTACTACTACTATTACTGCTGCGACTGCTACTACTACTACTACTACTACTACTTCTACTACTACTACTACTACTGCTACTACTACTACTAAAATTACTACTTCTACTACTACTACTACTACTACTACGACTACTACTACAACTGCTACTACTACTACTACTACTACTACTACTACTACTTCTACTACTACTACTACTCATATTACTACTGCTACTACGATACTGCTGCTGCGACTACTCCTACCACTTCTACTAGTAGTACTGCTACTAAAATATCATTCGTGTTGCGACGATTGCTTTTGCTATGATTGCGACGACTGCGACGGGTATTGGTATTACGTCGAATACAATTTCGACTACCACTACGACTTCTACTACTGAGGCTACCACGGCTACTTCTAACTGTTGGTATTTCTATTCGTATGATTAATGCCACTCCTGTTGCTACTGCTACAACTGCGACTACTACTGCTACTTCGACTAACTTTACGAGCAGTGCTGCCTGTACTACTACTACGACGACGACTACTACTACAACTGTTATTGCTACTTCGGCTACATATTCGATTTCTAGTATTACGAATTGTATGACCATTACTACTCGCCTTATTATCATCACTACTACTATTACTACTACTACTACTACTACTACTACTACTACTACTACTACTCTTACTCCTACTAGTACTAGTACTACTACTACTACTACTACTACTACTACTACTACTACTACTACTATTACTACTACTACTACTACTACTACTACTACTACTACTACTACTACTACTACTACTACTACGACTACTACTACCACGGTTATTCGTAGTACTACCATGACTACGACTACTACGACGACGACTTCTACTATTACAGCGGCTGATACTATTACTACGGTTACTATTTCTACGACTGCTGCTATTACGACGACTACGATTCTTATTTCTCAACCATCCTGTGGTGTTGGGCCCTCGTTTTGAAGAGACGGTGCCCCGCGTTCCTGTCATCCTCCCCCTCCTCCCTCCTCCCTCCTCCCCCTCCTTGCCTCTGCTCTCGGCACACCTCGGCAGCGTTTCGTGGCCCCATAGGGAGCTCCACCGAAAGCCCCAGTGCCTGCTCTCGCATGCGGTCCCCCCACCCAGGGCAGCGCTTCGTTGCCCCATAGGGAGCTCCACCGAAGGCCCCAGTGGCGCAGTTCGCATGCGGTTCCCCCGCCCAAGGCAGCGCTTCGTGGCCCCATAGGGAGCTCCACCGAAGGCCCCAGTGGCGCAGTTCGCATGCGGTTCCCCCACACAGGGCAGCGTTTCGTGGCCCCATAGGGAATCCATCGAAGGCCCCAGTGGCGCAGTTCGCATGCGGTTCCCCCACCCAGGGCACCGATTCGTGGCCCCATGGGGAGCTCCACCGAAGGCGCCGGTGGCGCAGTTCGCATGCGGTTCCCCCGCCCAAGGCAGCGCTTCGTGGCCCCATAGGGAGCTCCACCGAAGGCCCCCGTGGCGCAGCTCGCATGCGGTTCCCCCACACAGGGCAGCGTTTCGTGGCCCCATAGGTAGCTCCACCGAAGGCCCCAGTGGCGCAGTTCGCATGCGGTTCACCCGCCCAGAGCAGCGCTTCGTGGCCCCATAGGGAGCTCCACCGAAGGCCCGCCCCAGTGGCGCAGTTCGCATGCGGCTCCCCCACCCAAGGCAGCGTTTCGTGGCCCCATAGGGAGCCCCACCGAAAGCGGCACCCACAACGCGTTACGAACAATTGCTTTATGGTTGGGTCCTTCGCCAGGATAATTGTATTATGATGGGTGTTCTTGTTACTTTGATTCCTTAGTTTCCTTCTGCCCCCTCCTCTTTCGCTTCCTCTTCGTTCCCTGGCTGTGGTCGCGCGCCGCGGCGCCATCTATGGTCGCAAACGTCCAGGAGGGCGCCCGCGTGGGGGCTAATTGGGCCGAAGGGGTCGGGGGATCTCGCCGCGCCGCCGATGCATCGGCGATGTGGCGCGGTCTGGACGGAGGCCGACGTGCTCCGCCTCGCGACGGCGCCGATGCGTCGCCGATCCATCGGCGTTGCGGCGCGATCCCCGTGCGCCCTCGGCGTCGGCCCCGCGCGCGCGGCCTTCAAAGCACAGGCGGGCACGATGTTTGCCGCGGCGGTCCCTCGTCGCCCCCGCCCCCCTGCTCGGCTTCTCCCCTGCTCCAGCAGGCAGGGCACTGCCGGTGATAGTGTCCGACGCGAGGACGGCCTTCTTAGTCTCTCTGGCCCTTGTTGCGTCCCCTCCTGCTCCAGCTGCTGCTCCTCCTCGTCGCCTTCTTTTCCGCGGACGACGTGCGTGCGCCGTGCCACGTCGGCCCCCCCTCTGGGGCGTCGTCGATCCTCGACCCACAGCACGCACGGTGCATAGGTTTTGGGCGCCAGCGCCGAACAGGTCTGCACCATGCCGCGTTGGAGTGGGGCTTGAATGGGAGTCCACGCATGGTACAGTGCATGGGCGCCCTTCTCGTGTCCACATTCGGCCATGTCTGGCGTATCAGCTGACGGACCGCCCTTCCTCCCCATCCTCTTCCTCCTTCTCTCCTCCCCGTCTCCTCCCATCCTTCCCCTCCCACCCCCCTTCCCCTCTCCGATCCCTGGAGGTCCTTGTTTATGATCGGGGGGAGGCAGGGGAGGGGAGAAGTGGATGGACGCAGTGGAGGACAGAAGGAGGAAGGAGGAGGCGAGGGGAGAGGGAACGCGGAAGTTGAGAGAGGAAATGGTGTGGGGGGGAGTGGGGGGGAGTGGGTGGGTGGGTGGGAGGGAGGGAGGAGGAGAAGGAGAAGGAGGAGGAGGAGGAGGAGGAGGAGGAGGAGGAGAAGGAGGAAAAAGAGGAGGAGGAGGAAGAGGAGGAGGAGGAGGAAGAGGGAGAAAAGAGGAGGGGGGAGAAGAGAAGAGGAAGGTAGTATAGGATAGGATGGGGCGGCGTCGAAAACAGGTCTTCGGCGGTGTTCCGCCGGTTCCTTTGTCAGCCCCGTTGTGAGGGGCGGTTTCTCACAGCAACGCCCGCGACAGGAGCACCCCACCAGAGGTCGTAAATCCCGAGCGGCTTCCTTGGCCCGTATCCTCTCAGCAAGGCTGGCCACTCGCTGCTCGTACGATGCAGGGCTATCATCCGAGGCCCGAAAACCATCACGTCACTAATCTTGGGCCCCAGGGCCCATGGAGGCCCCAGGGGCCCCAGATTAGTGAAGTGATGTTTTTTTTTTCCCCACGTAAGGACCACGAAATTCATCACTGTGACTTCACTAAGCCGAACCCAGGACGAAAGTCAGAGGCCGAATTGCTGCTGTGATGCAACATAGGTCTCGTAGATCAGCAGCAGAACCAGGTGCCATCGCGGACTCTCGCACCCCTCGGGGTGACCGAGGCTCGGCCCCCACCCTGGCAGCAGGGGCTGCCCGCTCGAGCCGGGGAGGGACAGTGGGGGAGTGCCGAGAGCTTGGAAGGCGCTCGGGCGCTCAGCTGTCTCTGCCGAGGTGCGCAGACGGTCGTACTTTTAAGATTCTGTCGTACTTTTAAGATTGTGTGTTTTTGTATGTTTTTTGAATGTTTTTTTTGTGTGTGTATGTGTTTTTTGTGTGTGTGTGTATGTTTGTTTTCCCCACAGTGTGTGTTTTTTCCCCACGTGTGTGTGTGTGTGTTTTCCCCACAGGCCTTTCTCTGCCGAGGTGCGCAGACGGTCGTGTTTTTGTTTAAGATTCCACATTGCAACGGGCTGGCCGCGGCCTCCGGGCCGAGGCGGCCCGAGCCCCTATAGGTGCAGGTGCCCATCGCAAGAGGTTCGTTTTAGCCTGGCAGCGGCCGCGCCTATGTTTTCACGGCCCCCCTCTCCTTCCTCGCGTCCCCTCCTGCGCCCGCCGCAGGAGGTGCACTACTGCAGGCCCCTCCGCGAGACGATGGCGCTGCTTGAGGCCTCCTCCTGCTCCGGGACGCAGGCGGGGGAGGGGGACGGCGGAGGTGGTGGATTTGGAAGAATGCAGCGAGGGAGAGAGAGAGAGAGAGAGAGAGAGAGATGACCGGGTGAGGTGGCAGGGTTTGGTGGCAGTCGGAGTCTCCAGGGGAGGGGCTGTGTGGAGCAGGGGGGAGGAAAAGGGAGGAGGAGGAGGAGAGGAGGAGGAGGACAAGCTAGGTGCGCTCGCGTCATATTTGACGTCCTACCCCTCCCTCCCATCACTTACCGTCGCGTGGTCTCTGCGGATGTCTCAGCATGGCATAGCACAACATGTCATAGCATGGTGTTGAAGACTAACGCGTAGCATGACATAGCATGGCGTGGCGACGCCCCAAAGAGTGGCTTCCGCGGCCACAATAAAACAACGAATTGACACCGAATGTGTAATCACTTCCGATGGTTTTTCGGGGTGGCATTTTCTAGATTTTGGGGCCTATTTGGAAGGACCGGAAGACATGCCGTGGCACGGCGCTGGAAATAATGACGCCAGCGCTACAGCGGGAGCACGATTCGGAACGAGCGGAAGCGCCGAAATGAGGCCACCGCTGCAGCGGAATCACAATTCGGAACGAGCGGTAGCCCGAAAATGAAGCCAGCGCTTCAGCGAGAGCAGCATTCTGAACAAAACCCAAGCGCGGAAGCGCGGAGATGAGGACGCGTAGCCTGACATAGCATGGCGTGGCCATGCCCCAGAGTGGGGGGGCTTCTGCGGGCCAAAAAGTCGACAAATCGACCCCGAATGTATAGTCACTTCCGATGGTTTTTTCGGGGGGGGGGGGGGGGTCATTTTCTAAATTTTGGGGCCATTCCGAAGGATCGAAAACCATGCCGTGGCATGGCGCTGGAAATAATAACGCCAGCGATAGCATTCTATTTTGAACAAAACCCTGGCGAAAACTCAATTCCCGGGAATCCTGTGTGTAAAACACCAGTACGCGGAGGGGGGCCGAACAATCCCCAGACGCCACCAGGGAAGAGAGGAGAGTAGTATTTATTTCATTTAACTGTGGAGGAGAAGGATGAAAGGCAGGATGGAGGGGACGGGAGGGAGGAGGGCAAGGAGTACGAGGTCCTTTTGCCAGCCTCCCCCCTTCCTCTGACCCCCCCCTTCCTCTGACCCCCCACGGCGCGAGTCGGAGCGGGAGCTGCGGCGGGAGCTGAACAAGCTGCAGGAGTCCGAGCGGCGGCTGGAGACCGCGAAGAACAGCCGCCCCGCTGTGTGAGCCCGGCTCGTGCACACGCGGGCTTGCGAGAGGCCCCAGCTGCCCGAGGCACGGTGCCACAAGACTGCTTGTAAGCTTCGGATCCAAACAAAAACGTTGGCATCCCAGCGTTCCGCCGACGGAGCCGCCCTCGTTTTGCTTCCGCCGCCCTCCGCAGGCCTTCTGCCGCCCTTCGTCAAGGAAGTGATGCCGACCACTTCGACTCGCGAAGGCGAAGCCCTGTCTGCCTCGTCCTGCCTTCTCCTAATGCCGCCCTCCTTCCTCGTCCTCCTTTCTTGCCCGTGCCCCTCCCCCATCCTCTCCTCGCCCTGCTCCCCGCTTCCCTCCTTCTCTCATGCCCCTGCTCTCCTCACTCTTCTCCGTCCCCTCCTTCCTCTTCATTTACCGAACAGTGCTTGCACTTAGGGCTTTAAAGTTCCTCTGTAAGGAACTGGACTTGGATGTCGGTCTGGCGGCTATGCGGTCGCCGTCGCTGCCCCGTCGCCCCCCCGTTGCCGCCTCGTCGCAACCCGTCGTCAGGGCCCGAATGTCGGCCCGGCGGCTTATTATCGCCGTTGCCGCCCCGTCGCCGCCTCGTCGCCGCCCGTCGTCTGGGCCTGCACGTCACTCGGGCGGCTGCTGCTCCCCCCCCCCCGGGATGATAGGCGCCTCCTCTGCGTATTGCAATGTACAGACGATTCTGCCCCATTGTCCATCCTAAATATGGAGTCGCACCTTCCCAGGGGTGCCAGTCTCCCCCCCGCCATTCTCTGCATCAAAAATAGAACGCGCGCGCACTCGTTAATCAAAAACCATCCATTTTCAAACATCCTTCGCAAAAGATGAGACGAAGTGCCGCGCATGCCGACATCCTTCAAAAATTTTCGGTTTCGTAACGATTTCAAAGCCGAGTGTCCACGAACATATGGAACACATGGTTTCGCAACACGGACTTTCAGCAACAACTTGCGCGTTTTTGCGAACTTTGAAAAAATCGCGATATTTTCAGAAAGTGCTACCGAACGGGCTTTGCGCGCGCATGTCGGAATCGTTCGAACGCCCTTGCGTGCGTGCCGTCGCGAGAACCCTTTGCAACAGATGAGACGAAATGCGCACGCGCGCTCGTCGTCGCGCGCGCATGCCGGAACCAGTCAACCAAACCGAGTGCTCCAACACACATTTGAAAACACATGGTTTCGCAACACCAGTTCTCAAACAAAACGTGCGTTCGCGCTACTGGGAATTCTGGGAAAAAGTTGTTCCGTATGTTCATAGAATTCTGCCAAGCGGGCCTCTGGCGCCGCATGCCGAAATCATTCGCACGCCCTTGCGCGCCTGCTGGGGGGGCACGATCCGTGTCAAATAATACCACGCGGGCTACTCTCGCGCGTCGGCCGCGCGCGCATGTCGAACTCTTTCCAAAACCTTTATCACCGACGAAAGGACGCCGTCATCGTCATCGGCGTGATCAGCATCGGCGCCCGCACTGGCCGCGCCGTCGTCTTTGCCACCATCGCCAACAGCATCGCTACTATCATAATCGCGTCTACTGTTGTCGACGTTGCCGTGATACCGCGCCCGCCCAAGTCGCCGATTCGCACTGCAGTGCCCGTTGGGATGAGCCTAGCGGTCAGCGCCATCGCGACCGCGTCGGTCGCGCCAAACTATGTGGCCGCTGCGCGCGCGTGTCTGTTTTGGCGCGGCCGCAGTGATGCACCAGCCAACGCCAAGCATGCATCGCAATCGCCACCGCATGGATTTAGCAAACGTTTGCAAGAGCATCGGATGTGTCAACTCGTTTGTAAAACTTGTGTTGCGACAGTGAGAATCTACCACCACCACCCGGTCTTCGCGCTACCCCGTGCGACATCTGATTCTGCCCCGTCGATCGCGGAACATCTGAATCCACTCCATCCCTGACAGGCCGGTACCTCCCCCCACCTTCCTTTGTCAAATACAGAACACGATGCGCGCGCATTCGTTGATCAAGCATTGTTAGTTGTTCTGAACCCCTCGCAACAAATAGCACAAGAGCCACTTGCGCGCGGCGTCATGCGCACATACCCTCATTCATCGTCGACCATAGGCTTCAAAAAGGTTTCGAAAACACGATTCCCCGAATAATGCGAAACAGACGAGAAACCAAACCAGCGATTTCGCAACATGGTTTTTCATAATCAAAGTCGGCGCGTACGGTCTTGCGAAATCAAATGAAAACATCGGTTTGCCAACATGTCCATCGCAAGCGACCAAGCGGGCCTCTTGTGCGCGCGTGCCGAAATCATTCGGGCGCCTCTGCGCGCTCGCGCGGGTGGCACGATCCTTGTCACCTAAGATCATGCGGGCCAGTCGCACCCGCCGGCCGCGCGCGCATGTCGGAATCCTTCCACAAAACATGCATCGTCGACACGTGAACAAAACCATGATCATCGGCGTAAGTTGCATCGGCGCCGTTCTTGGCCCTGCCGCAGTCATCGCCAACATCGTCACCAGCAGCATCGCTACGATCATTATCGTACCTGCCGCTTTGCGACGTCGCCATGATACAGCTCCCGCCCGAGCCACCGTCTCGCATTGAAACGCGCGCGCGTCAGCGCTGCCTGCGAGACGCGCTGGGCAGTGCCCAGCGGACAGCGCCACGGCGGCCGCGTCGGTAGCGCGGGACTACGTTGCCGTTTTGCGAGCGAGTTTGCTCACGCTAGCGCGACCGCAGCGACGCGCCAGCCAGCGCCGAGAAATCACCGCAATCGCCGCCACATTGGTTTTACACATCAGGTTGCGGGTGGGTGGGCGAGATGATTTCGCGACCAGTAAAATTGACAAGTTTCTTCTGCAACCAGTATTTCGATGCACCGCATGTGTTGCACAAGCCACATAGTTTGCATGTCATATGGCACAACATAGACGGCACCACATTTACCGCACCAGGTAGGTAACGCCATTTTTCTTGCACCGCTCAGATTGCACCATGTCGATTTCACCGCGCAAATTGCGCACCACATAAATGTCACCACACTTGCATCTCTTTGACATAATTCGGATCTCCCCCAGGATTATCGCCCCCCCCCCCCCCCGTGGTGTAGCACAATGTAAAACAGATTATGCCCCGTCGTTTGTTTTAAGACTGAACTCGTACCAACCCGTGGGGGGCCCGTATCCCCCCTTCATCCTCGCCAAATGATAATATGCGCGCTGACCCTTCCGATCACAACCTCTGCACCAAATAAGACATAGTCCGCCCGCGCGCGGCGTCGAGCGCGCATGCAGACATGTTGCAAACACTCTAGGTACCGTAAGGATTTCAAACTCGCGGGTTTGCAATGTGGGTTTCAAACAAAAGCCCTTGCGCGCGCTGCTGGGATGTCTTATGGCATACGTACGTACGTATTCCAGCCCTTTTAATCACATGCGGCCGAGCGGGCCGTTCGCCTACGCGCGTCGGAATCATTCGGGCGCCTCTGAGCGCCTGCAGAGGCGGGTGCGGCCCCTGTCAAGTAATACCATGCGGGCCGCGCCCGTCGGCCGCACTCGCATGCCGAATTTCCTTAGCAAAATATGCATCGTCGACGCGTGGGCAGAATCATCGCCGTCGGCGGGATCAGCATGGGTGCCGTCATTGGTTTTGCCGTCGGCATCGTCACCATCGTCGCCAGAATCGCTGCTATCATCAGCGCGTCGGCCGTTGTCGGCGTCGCCATGATACTGCGCCCGCCCGACGCATGCCGACGACGCGCAGCCGAGGGCAGTGCGCGATCCCATGGATATGGCCCAGCCTTTGCGAGACCATTGGTCTCCGGTCTTCGCAGACAAGGCGACCGATTCTGATGCGGTGGAACGCTACCTGGATGAGGTCAGGCAGCCGCTCGCGGAGCACCCGCTCCCACTGCCGGCGCTCGAGGATTTGGAGCACGTGGCGCGCCGCGCGCGCCTGGCAGCTGCGGGCTCCGATGTGCTGCCGCACCGTGCCTGGACGTCCTCGGAGGGGTCGCTCGAGATTTTGCGCGCGGCGCTGCTGGCACTCATGCGCGACGCCTGGCCGCCTGCTGGATGCAATCACTTTCTGATGTCGTCCATCCCGAAGGGTGACCAGCCGCCGTCGGCGACGAAATGCACTCGGACGCCAGGGGCCCTCAGGCCATGGACTTTGAAGAGCTCGGATATGCGGAGCTCTGCGCTGCAGCAGGCATTCGCTAATTGCGCACGATGGCCGAGCAGCGCGCTGACGAAGTGCAGCGCGGCTTCAGCCGGGACTGGACCTTCGCTGACAACATCTGGCAGCTGGACCTGCAGGAGCGGGCCCAAAGCGTCGCGCCACTTGCGGAGGAGCGTCGCCCGGCCATGTGCTCCTGCGATGTGGCGGCGGCTCTTCCGTCATTGGCACGCCATTGGTTGTCCGCCAGCCTGCGGAGGTATGGGCTGCCCGCGGAATACCTTCTCCTCGTGCAGGCATTGTGCGTCGACCAGTGCTGCTGGGTTCGCTCCGGCGTTGCACTACTCGCGCTGTGCCCTCTGGACTCCGGTGTTGTACAGGAGTGCCCCCTCAGCGGCACCCTGTGGGCCCTGGCCTTCAACCCGTTCTTCGTTGGCACGCAGAGGATTTTGATTTAGCCTCGAGAGTCGCCAACGCGAGGTGTGCCAGAATGAACATGGAGTATGACCAGCATGTTCTCCGCTGGCGTTGCGACAGCCTAGCGGCGTGCGCGGATGACTTCGGGCTCATCGTGACCGCCCTCGCGCGCATTGCGCGTTTGAAGCCGCACTTCGAGGCCGCGCCGATTGTGGCCAGCCTCCAGCTCCAGCCGTCGAAGTGAGGTTCTTGCCCCGCCATGGGGCATCCTGACAGAAACTGACGCTGCAGCTCTCCGCGTGGAGCTGGGCATTCGAACTCCCTGAAATACTTGGGCGTCAAACTCGGCCTGGGCGCAACGAACGAAATGCAGTGGGCGGAGGCGGCAGGCAAGTGCCACGCGCGCCTGTGCTTACTCCGGGGCTGCCCAGCGCCCAACGAGGTGATCGTGCGCGATTGCGTCTCGGCGGCGCTGCCCGCGGTAAGCTACCTCGCGCAGTTCTCCGTCATAGACCCCGAACTATATTTCAGCGAACTTGATGGTCTACATCGTGTGTTGCGCTGCCCTCCAGTGGCATTCACCAAAACCGATTTGCTCAGCATAATCTGCTGAGTGTCCATGACGTCGTTCAAGTCGATGCTTGCCGTGTCCTTCGCTGCGATGATGCGCGCAGCGGCGTTCACCTTGCCGACGCAGCCGCGATAGCAGGAGAGCTTGCGCGATCATTCGCTCGAGGAGGGATTGGCGACACGGGCGGCGCAAGGTCTGTGGTCTCCTCCGTT